GAACATTTGCCAATGAGATAGAGACAGGAGAATTGCAGAAGGAATGTCCTTGAGCAAGAGGGAGGGGATGGCAGGGGCCCAATGCCCAACCATAAGGGTTGGCAGCAGACAGGTGTTAGGGGAGTTCATCTACCAAATCAGGAAGGAAAACTGAGAACCCGGACACAGATGCAAGCAGGTGGACAGCTGTGGCAGAGAGAGCTTGCAGAGGTTCTCTTCTAGTTACTCCACTTTTCTCAGTGAAATAAAAAGAAAAGTCATAAACTGAAAATGGAGATGTGGGAGGAGATACTGGAGGACTGAGGAGAGAGAGAGAGTTTGCCAAAGTTATCTAAGACAGTAGTATGGGAGAACGAAGGGACTAGGGAGATGGATGTGGTTACCAGGCAGCATGTAGGGTCATTCAGGAGCTGTGATTCATTCCACTCAATGAAATCCTAAATAGCCATTAGGGAAAAAAAAAAGAAAAGAAGGAGGTTGATTTGGTTTTCATTCTTTCAACAAATATATAAAGTGCACCTTCTACATGCTAAGAACAGAAAGAAATCCACTGTAGATTAAATGGGGGAAAGTAAGTTTCAGAAGAATAAATATTTTAAGATCCCATTTATATATTTAAAAAATAGATATATGTTTGTACAGGCTTTGAAAAATCTTCAAGGAGACATGTCAAATATTAGCAGTGACTATTATGAAACAAAGGGAAAGGAGGGCTGGAAATTGTTTACTCTGTTTTTTGTTAGGTTTTTCTTTAACACAAAAGTGTACAGTGTATTTGAAATGAAGGACTATTCATACCGAACTATATAATGAAAGCCCTCCCACTTCATATTCTCAAATAATATGCAGATGAACTGAGGTCAATATTTAAAAAAACAAAAACACCTATTTGACAAATTAATTGTATTCCTAAGAGCTTACTCTTGGGGGAAAAGTTGAATAAACATGTCCAAAGAAATATGTCCAAGGATGTTTATAACGGGGGGTTTGAAACTGTGAAAACGGGGAATCAATCTTGTAGTGGATGCTCCAGATGCCCTTTATTAGCAGCTAATAGTTCACAACTGCCGCCTTCCACAGAGAACTGTTCCGTGGAATGGAAGCTGCCACAGCCCCCTTGCCTCAGGTGAGATGAGTTCTGTGGAGCGTTTCATGCTCCAGAGCCCCCCATGGGATCAGACTCAACCTGGGCCACAGCCGGGCCCACACCTTGCATAGCAATTTCCCCTGCTCTCTCTCTCCTGCTTTCCTCGCTTCCCTGGATGAATCATTTGCACAAGACGCCTCAGGCTCTGCTCCTAAGGAGCCTACCCAGATGAGCCTCATGACCACCATTAGGGTGGTTAAATATATATGATATGTCCAAACAATGGGAGGGTAAGAGAAGGGAGGTGGTGAGATGGATCATACTAGGATGGAAAAACGTCTGTGCTGTGCTGCTAAATGAAAAAGAAAAAAAAAAAAAAAAGGCAAGCTGAAGAACACAGCATATACTATTTAGCACATATGTATACATATTTACATAAATATATTTATATATGAACAGAAGAAGAATTTACACGGACATGTTAACACTGGTTATGTCTAGATGGTTTTGTTATGAAGAATTTTCACTTTCAAAATCATTCATGTCTATTTTGTCTGAATATTTTAAAAAATGGATGTATTATGTGTACAACCACATACTGAAGAAGCAGCTTTGGAGACAGAGACCTGGGGTTAAATCCTCACACTACTGCCTACCAGATGTGTGACCACCTAGCTCCTTTGACCCTCAATTTTCTCATCTGCAAAATGGGGATAATAATATCTACCTTACAGAGTTGTTGTGAGGGTTTTATAAGGCATAAAACCTCTTAGCATAGTATCTGACACATAGTAAGCACATAATAATGGTAATTGTTTTTATTATTATTACTTCAAATGACTGCTTTTAGGTGGTGAGACCATGAGATTTAAAAAAATTAGTTAATTTATTTTAACTGACACTTTGTAACTGTACAGGCTTATGGGGTGCAATCTGGTGTTATGTAACGATCGGCCAGGGTAGTTAATGTGTCCCTCACCTCATGCATTTTTATCTCTTTGTGGGGAAAACATTCAAAAGCCTCTCCTCTAGCTTATGTAATACATAAAACTTAACTGTTGACCGTAGTCACTCTCCTGTGCAATAGGATACCGGAACTAATTCCTCCTGTCTAATTGTAATTTTGTACCCACTGGCCAACCTCTCCCTGTTTTCCCTGCCTCCCTCCCCTCTACCCCCTCTCCAGCCTCTGGTAACCACTGTTCTACTCTTTGCCTCTGTGATATCAACTTTTTTTTTGAGATTCTACATACGAGTGAGATCAAGTGGTATTTGTCTTTCTGTTTGTGGTTTACTTCACTTAGCATAATGACCTCCAAGTCCACCTGAGATTTATTTTTTTCTTCCTACTTTTCTTTCATTTCAAAATTTGTCTTTAATTGGTACCTTAGTAATAATCAACAAATTATATATTTCAAGTCTGGCATAAATGATGTGTGTCAATATTTGGGGGTCTGTAATTAATTAATTACTTAGACAAGGAAAAAGAGAACGCATTGCCTGACTCTTCCAGTTAGAGCATCAGTACCTCACAGAGTTTGCACATTTCAGCACACAAAATCATGGGGGAGAAAAAGAAACTTGACAGCAGCAAAAAGAGGCAAAAGCACACAAAACGGGTTAAAAGGATGACTCACGTCTAACATCATACAACATGGTTGATTACTTCTTAGAACTGTGAAGGAGGGATGGACAGAAGAGCTCTTGGACAAGAGTTTGTCCGAGAGTGGTCACTGTTCACCTGCACTGGAATCACCTGGGCACTTGTCTAAGAGGCAGATGTCCAGGCCCCACCCCAGGTTCTCTGAATCAGAATCCCTGGGTGTAGATGCCAAGAATCTGTATTTTTAATCAGCAGTGTTAAGTCACCATGATTCACACTAAAGTTTGAAAGCTCTGACTTTGTTGAATTAATTTTTAAAATACTTGAAATGCTCTAAAGTAGACCAAATACACAGACCCCATAATTATACCAAGACTTCATGAAGAGGTCTTATAAAGTTGATAAACATGAGTTTTAGATGCTTTATTCATTAGATGAATCGGCTTTTGAGTAAAATGGTTTGAGTCCAGTTGGATAGCCTGCTCTTCCACCGTGCCCCAGTCCTCCCACACCCCTTGTCTCTAGTCATGGGGCTCGGCTGCCCCGGACCGCCCTGAGTTCTCGGTGAGACTCACTGTTACAATAAGCGAGGGCAAGTGTGTTGGGAGCCTGTGGCCACAATTAGGGCTGGATCTGGGACCAGAGCCCTGAGAGCTCAATTTGGGGCTGAGGTAAGGCTTCAGCCAGGGCCACAGCCAGGGTCGTCTTAGGACCAGGTTGCAGTCTGGGGCACTCGACCTCAGCTCCTGGGTCTGTGGACAGAAGGGCAAGGCCCCTCCCAAAGCCTCAGGAAGGTGCCCAGCCCAGGCGGCAGATTCCACAGGCATCCCTCAGGCCTGGAATGCACACCTGTTTGCCCAGGCCTCAGTGGCCACAGTCTGGGGCTGACAAAGGATGGGGTCTGAGGAGAGCACAGGGCTAGGCCCACCTTACCTGGTCCAGCGAGGTCCCCCATGGCAGTTGTCACTGGGCCGTTCTGCTCCTTGGGGATCATCCTATGGAGGAGAGACTCCCACAGATGGGCCAGGCTGCCTCCATTCCTCCCCAGACCTGCCCCTCCCAGATCCTCCAAGTCCCTGGTCCACCCAGCCCCAGCTGAACTGCCTTGGCCCACCCCAAAGTCATGAGCAAGGGCTGTCTGAGCTGGAAGGGCCTTTCGGGACTCTGTACAAAGGAGACTGAGACCAAGGGAGGGCGAGGGAGGTGTTCCAGGTGACACAAATTGGTTCCATGTTGCTAGAGAAGCATTCCGTATTCAGGGGTGGTCTCTAGGGCCTTTTCCCTGGACTTGCATCCCTATCAGAGAGAGAGCACGTGCCTGGGATATTAGGGATGGGGGAGCAGGGGTCTCAGGCATTACTGTCATCTGCTGACCTGAGATGGTTCTAATCAGAGGCTGGAAGAGGTTGGAGGATGAAGTTAGGGGAGAGCAAGCATGGGCTAGGCAGGGGGTACCCTGGAGTCTTCAAGTTGGTCCTCCCCTCCTGTCCCCAGCACTTGGCCCCGAGGCTCGTCCAACAAAGCTGAGAACCACCCATCTCCCCATCCCTGGGCTAACCTCCACGGTGTTCTCTTCTCCCTCACCCTCTCTCTTCCTCTTCCTCCATCTCCCCATTTGTATCTCATGGCATCTTCCAGCAATCTTGGAGGAGATTTACAAATAAAATGAGGTCCAGAGCCCAGAGGAACCTGCAGGCCCCAAATCCAGATTCCCTAACTTGCCTGTGGGAGAAGAGGCAGAGCTCCCTGACTGCCCACCCATGCTGACACCTCTCTCCTTTGCCTCCAGGTTTGTCCATACTCCTTCCTTCAGAAAACAATCTGCCTCCATCTGTACGCCCCACACCCACATGGGGCTCTGGAGTCTAATTGATGTCCCTGCCTTCCTCTGTAACTGTGAACAGGTAGCTCTCCAGCTCTGTGCCTCAGTTACCCCCTCTGTAACATAAGGGGGTTGGGCTAAATCATGGGGATCCATGGATGGGCTTCTGGGCATCCATGAACCCCTTAAAATTGTGTGTAAACACAAATGTGTCTGCATGCATTTGGGTTGAAGGTCATGAGATGATTGAGAATGCCCAGCTGTGACCATTTAGGATTCCACGGTCCACAGATCTCTCTTTTCTTTTCTTTTCTTTTTTTTTTAAAGATGACTGGTAAGAGGATCTTAACCCTTGACTTGGTGCTGTCAGCACCATGCTCACCCAGTGAGCTAACCAGCCATCCCTATATGGGATCCAAACCCGGGGCCTTGGTGTTATCAGCACCGCACTCTCCCGAGTGAGCCACGGGCCGGCCCCGCAGATCTCTTTCTTGATAAACATTCCCCTTACGGCAATTCACAGACACTGGGAAGGGCCCCTCATTTTACAGATAGGGAAGCTGCTTCCCTCTACTGCCTGAAGATCCTGAAGTCCTGAGCAGAGCCACTACCTAACCTCCACCTTTAATCCTAGCCCTCACTCCCCATTTAATGTAGAGTAATCCAGAGCTTAGAGTTCCTCTCCTCCCAAACTAGGATCCAGGCTTCTACAAGGCCCCAAACTCCCCAGATCCTCTGCAGGGCCCTTCCTCTGCTGAGGGAAAGGAGCTCTGGGAATTGGCTCATCTCCTCTGCCCACTCCCCACAGATCTCCAAGCTCCCCTGGGATCCTGGTACCTGAGAGGATGGGACCACAGTGGACAGGAGGGAGTGTCAGACCCTCAAGATTAACACCTCTGCCAGGAAGCTGAGAGTTGCGTGGTCAGTATCGTGTCGGCAGTCGGTGGTCAGCGGTCAATGAGCAGGGTGTGCCCTGCAGCCAGCTCTGGCTTCAGCTGGCAAGAATCATTCCTGCCTTGTCGTGGGTCACAGCCTTATTTCAGGCTGCAACAGGAGCCGGGGCCAGATGCTAAAAGCACCAGGCCCTTGGGAAGACAGGTGCCCCGGCAGCAGGCCCTTGCAGACAGAAGGGCTTGCACCCACATGTACACATACACTCACAAATGCACACACTGAAGTCACCTGGAAATGCTGAGTGACAGCAGCCGGTCCCCTCAGCTTGTTAACTGTCATATCCTTAGTGCCTAGAATCGTGCCTGATAGGAATGTAGGAGATATCTGTCAAATGAATGAATGGATGATGGATGAATGAATAAATTATCCCCCAATATCTTTGCTTACTTGTCCTTTTCTTCCTTTCTTTCTTCTTTCCTGCCTTACTTTCTTCCTTCTGCTTTCTTGCTTCCTCCTTTTCTCCCTCCCTCCCTCCACCTTCTCACATTCTCTGAGCCTCTCTCTATGAACTGAAAATAAATAAGGCAGGGCTCTGTCCTCAAGGAGCTCAGCCAGGTCAGATTCAGACCTGTAAACAAGCCTTTGTGAGGCACCATGGGAAATTCTCTGGGAGGGCCCAGGGGAGGGTGTTACCAGCTCAGCCTGGGGGATTAGGAAGGCTTCCTGGAGGAGACATTCACGTTAGGCCATAAAGGATGAGTGGAAGTTCACTGGGCAGAGAAGAGGCAAGGGCGTTGCAGGCGGAGGACATATCACATGTAAAGATGGTGGGGGCTGGCCAATAGAGCCAGAGCTGGGGATATAGGGTGGTGCTGAGACGTGAGGCCAAAGAGGTAGGTAGGGGTCTGATCACAGCAGGCTTTTCACAAAGAAACTGTGTTCATAAAGGGCTGCAGAAAAGGTTAAAGTGGTAGAGTGTAGTGGTCAGACTGGCACTTTCCAAAGATCTCTGGCTGCCATGTGGATAATGGGTTGGAGGGGGCCAGACTGGAGGCAGGAGGATTTCACTGTAGCCAGGTGAGAGATGGGGGTGGCTGGGCTGGGGCAGTGACAAAGGGGATGGAGAGGAGGAGAGGGAGTTGAAGGCACTGGAGAATCAGCAGGCCTTGGTGAGGGACTGGATGTGGGCAGTGAGGCAAGGGAGGAGTCAGTGACCACTCCTGTCTCTGGCTTGAGTGACTAAGGTAGGTAACAGGAGGAGCAGGTTGGGGTGGGGCAGATACTGTGTTCAGTGTGGGATGAACTTGGTTTGTGGTGTCTGGGGACTGGAATGAGGTCACCAGTAGGCAATAGGACACTGCGCTGAGGAGAGGTTCCTGCTGAAGATAAAGATTGAGTCAGAGGCACACAGACCACTCCCAGGGAAGGGCGGACCCAGCAATGATGCTCTGGATCCCGGGAGGGAGCACCTGTATCTGTGTGCCGGTGCGCACTGTCCCAAGGCGTAGTTCTGAACTCTGCTGGGGCCTGCCTTGAGCTCGGCTTACTGCCTCTCAGGTTCCTCTGCCCAGTCTCCGCTGGGCCTGAGCTTCTCGAGAGGAAAGGTGAGGGATGTTCTTGGAGTAGGCTTGGCCTCACCTGGGAGTGGGACTGCAATCCCCTTCTCTGGGCAAAGGACACCCGTGGGAGAGGAGGACTCCTGATGGTCTGGATCCTGACCTCACCAGGCTTGCCTGGACTCAGATGTCACCTCTCATAGTGGCCCCTCCTCCTGCCCTGGAACCCCATCTGCCATGAGGAAGTAACCCCAGCACACTGGGCCTAAACCCAGCTTGGCCCTGCCCACTCCGGTGACAGTGCCCTGTGGCCAGGGTCTGGACAATACCACCCTTAGAAATTACCTAGCCCAACTCTCCCATTACACAGATGGGGATGTTGAGGCCTGGAGAAAGAGTGGGTGGGTTCACCCAGGGTCACCTAGCTAGTTGATGACAGGACCAGGACTTCAACCCAGGGACTTCTTCTATGGCCCCTAGTGTTTTTGTTATGCCCCATCTCTCCTCATGGCTGCTCCCTCCCAAGCTCCCAGCCCCTGTGTCTCCAATATTCCCAGCCACCCATGAACTGTTCCATGTTTGGGGAGGAGGAAAGGGTGTCAGACACATCCGAATACAACACAGGAGGGAGAAGAATGCAGGAAGCATTTATTGAGGTCCAGAGCTGAATTCTACAGGAGGCAAGAGGCAGGACACAGGCAAGCTGTAGTGGGTTCAAGAAGAGGATGGGAGAGAGGGCAGTGGCGATGAGAGGAAAGCCAGAGACTGGCTGGGAACGCCAGCTTCCCAAGGCTGCCTCCTACTTTCTTCTTGGGGAAATGCAGGTAGAAGTGGATCCTCTATGCCACTGCATCAGCCAGAGGCCTGATAGTGTCCCTTCTCTGGAAGGGGCCCTTAGCCCCAGCTGCCCATGCTGCAAGGAACCCTGCCACAGATGAGGGCTTTGGCAAATGTGATCTCTCATCACTAACTGATCAGGAGCACCTTCTCATCATCCTACCAACAGGGTCTGTGTCCCCCAACCTTAGGCACTAGGAACCATCTGGGATCACTCCTATATTCCAAAGCACCCCACCCCACCCCTGGCTCTCTTGCATTCTGGCTCTAGCCTCACTTGGGGGTTCCAGGTCTAACATCGCTCTGATGGATGGATAAATCCACACCTAATCCAAAATCACACTCCGTCCCTGACCTTTAGCAACATCCCAGTATCCTTCCCCCTCCATAGTTTTGATCCTTGACCAGTTCATTCTCCCAGAGTATCCTGAAGCTGATACTCTGAACCTCTAGAGGCATTACCAGCCAACTCTGAAAACTGCAGAACTCGGCCACATTCCTCCCTGGGTCCCTCCTGGAGATTAGAATCAGAGCCACTCAGCTTTAAGGGACAGGCTAGGGCCTGCAGCCAGCCTCCCCAAGGTCAAGCTTGGCCAGAGTACAATGGGAAAAAGATGGGGCGGGACAGCGCCCACTCTTCTGCACATGATATGGACACGGGCTGGGGCCTGAAACTGAAGAGGGGGCACTTCCTAGGGGACCAGAAACACAGGGAGGCCCTGGCCTAACTCCTCACTCACCCACCCAATCTCATCTGGCCTTGAATTCAATCTCAGCCAATCCTCCCCTACCACCCTCCCCCACTTCCAAATACCATGAAAGGCATGTCAGGACTGGAAGAGCCCTCCGAGTTCATCTGAGCCAATCCCATCCCCTGCTAGACTCTCATCCATGCATCCTGGCCATGGCTTGCATACTCCCCACAACAAGAACTCTTTGCCTCCCTGCTTCCAAACAGGCAACTCCACACTCAGGACAATCATATAAAGTCACAGAGCAGCTCCATATCTCTTCTCTCCCCAGCTCAGCTTTGAGCCCAGAACCTGCCATGAATGGGCCCAGAAGGGAAAAATGGGCTGGAGGCCCAGGTCCTAGGCCCGAAGGAAATCATCACATTATACCTCTCTTCTCTGACTGCAGAAAAGACGCCCCAGATAGTTGGAGCTGGGGCAGAGAAACTAGCATGACAGGGGCCTGAGGAGACTCTTCCTGCCTCTTCTCTCCAGAAGGGCCAGCGAGGCACCTTGAGCTGGCCTGGGAAATCTCTCTAAAGGTCGCTGTGGTAAAAATAGAGCTTGTCTGGGAAGGGATTGAAAACAGCTGCTCCTGCCTGGGACTTGGTGCCAGGGAGCTGGATGGTCAAGCCAGGGCTTGGACATGGGACAGAGGTCTAGGAGCTTCTGAACACATCCCATTGGCAGACTCCACAGAGCAAAGCCAGGAAGGGAGTGGGAGCATGAACCCCGGCTGCAAGTCTAGGGGTCCACACTCACAACAC